TATTTGTTTTGGTATTTTATAAACAATTAGCTGTTATTAATTTTAATTAAATTAATTATTTTTTAAAAAATAATAATTATTTTTTGACTTTTTTAAATTAAAAATTTTAAAATAATTTATATATTTACTTATATTACCTTTTAAAAAAAATTAATTACTTTAGATTATAAATAATAATAATTATTAATAATCAATTATTAATTATTAACTATATTTAAACAATTAATTCAAATACCGCATACAATTACAGCATTACAAAACAATAATACCAAACAAACTCTTATCCACCTTGAGAATGAAGATAACATTAAAAATATTGCTAAAAAAAAATATTGTAAAGTTTCATTGGCACAACTTGTATTTTTAAATGAGAACAAATCTTAATATTTTTTTTCAATTAACGCTAAAATAATTTAGTGACAATATTTATTTATTAAAAGTAAAAAATTTTGAATTCAAATTATATAATATACAAGTTAAATAAGAGACGAGAGAAAATTATTTTATATTATACAATCAAGATAAAAAATATATAAATATTACTGGCCACATCCACCTTGAAAAAAAAAATTCTTATTACAGAAATATTTCCAAAGGAAATGAAAAAGAATTTCGTATATACAAATAGAATGAATAAAAATACATTCTTGCCCCATTTGGTTCCATCATTTCTCACCAGAGGGGTGGGTATTTATGTCATTTAGCATATAACGTGGCAGGAAATGTCCGTACAATTTCAGTTAATTAAAACATTCGGATAACGGCTCCTCCTAGTGTGAAGAAAACAAATCCATTATCCAGAGCCAATCAAATTCATCTTATTTTCTGAAATTTCATTTCCATGGACTGTGCCGGCCGGTTTCCTCGTCTTCTTTTCCCTCAGTACTTCACAAATTCAAGGTCTTTTTGATTCAAAATATTCAAAGTTTCCCTTTATGTCATCTCTCTAATTCTTTTTCAATTGATTTTTTTGGCCAGATGTTTTATATTGAATTTGTTCTGCGTGTTCTTACAGCATACATAGATGTCCTGTGATTCTCCAAACTGTAGTAATAAGGAAAAGATGGTCTAATTCCGGTGCTGTTGGGTTTTCTGGAACCGGAGCTGGGAACTTGTCTGAGGACAGACCTTTGAAGGGAAATGAAAATGGGTCTTTATTTGGAACACTGGATGCTGAAATCACTCCTGAAACCACTGATTTCTTTGTTAGTGATGCAGAGGGTGATCCTGACTGCCCTTCTGAAGGGTACTCTTCTGTGGAACAGGCCCTCAATACCCTACGCAATGGGAAGGTTAGGTCCTCATCAAATTTGGAAACTTGTTCAATCTTTTGTTTTATGGAATTCCTAAGGAAGATGAGTCTTTTATTGATCCATTCTCGATATTGATGATTATTGCTTTCTTTTCTTAGTTTGTAATTGTTGTAGATGATGAAAATGGGAATGTTGAAGGAAACCTGATCATGGCAGCATCTATGGCTGGTCCTCGGGATATAGCTTTCATGATTAAGCATGGTTCCGGTATTGTTTCTGTGGGGATGAAAGAGGAGGATCTTGAAAGACTCAAACTTCCTCTAATGTCACCTGAGACAGAAGACGAAGATTCTTCTGCCCCAACCTTCACTGTGACTGTGGTATTGATCTTTTGCAAAACCTTCAATAATCTTTCAAATTTAAAGCAATTTGTGAACTTTTGTTAAGGAATTCATATGCTTTGATAGGATGCGAAAATCGGCACAACTACAGGGGTGTCTGCTTCAGACAGGGCAAGGACTGTTCTTGCTCTTTCATCTCCACAGTCTAAGCCAGGGAACTTCAGAAGGCCAGGTCATGTGTTTCCTTTGAAGTACCGGAATGGTGGGGTTTTAAGGAGAGCCGGTCACACTGAGGCTTCTGTAGATTTAATGTTGCAAGCAGGTTTGCGGCCTGTTTCTGTTCTTTCTGCCATTGTCAATCCAGAGGATGGTTCTATTGCATCTTTGGCAATTCTAAGAAAGTTGGCTTTGGAGTATAGCTTACCAGTTGTCTCAATTACTGACCTGATCAGGTGAACCATCTTTTGCAACTTTCATTTATCATCTGAATTAACTTCATGTATGCAAATTAGTTTGACTCATTAGGGGGATTTCTGCTTATAGATACCGGAGAAAGAGAGAGAAATTGGTTGAAAGAACTGCAATCACACGTCTGCCTACCAAATGGGGCCTGTTTCAGGCTTATTGCTACAGGTCAAAGCTAGATGGAACAGAACATGTAGCTGTTGTGAAGGTAAAAATGTTTCTCTATTTCCAGTTGTTTTCCCCACTAATTCCTATTGCTCCTAACATATGCTAAGCAAAAGAAACTCTACAGGGAGACATTGGGAATGGACAGGATGTTCTTGTACGGGTTCATTCAGAATGTCTAACAGGGGATATCTTCGGATCTGCACGGTGTGATTGTGGCAACCAATTGGATTTAGCAATGCAACTGATCGAGCAAGCTGGTCGAGGAGTTGTTGTCTATCTCCGAGGTCATGAAGGAAGAGGAATTGGCCTTGGTCACAAACTCCGCGCTTACAATCTGCAAGACCAAGGCCATGACACGGTTCAAGCCAACATAGAACTTGGTCTAGCTGTTGATACACGTGAATACGGTATTGGTGCTCAGGTAAAAAAAACCGCTTCACCTAAAAGCTTTAAACTGTTAATTCAATCCAAAGTTCGAAAATAGTTTAATTATCTTTGTTTTTAATGGAAACAGATTCTGAGGGATGTTGGGGTTCGAACAATGCGGTTAATGACGAACAATCCGGCCAAGTTCATTGGTCTGAGGGGCTATGGATTAGCTGTTATTGGGAGAGTGCCTGTGTTGACACCCATTACAGAGGAAAACAAGAGGTACTTGGAAACTAAACGGACGAAAATGGGTCATGTCTATGGTTCTGATATACGAGGACCCTTGAATGGATTCACGGACCCAACTGTAGAAAACAAAGAATCAGAAGGAGAAGAGTGAAAAAGACGGCTCATTTTCTATCCTATAAAGCTTACAGATTCAGAAAAGCAATTTATTTTCAGACGCAAGATACAGATAGCAACTTCTTGTTTTTTTCTTGGCCAACTATAGCAACTTCTTGTTATAATTGT